AATTGTAATACTGTACTTTTCATAAACTATAACAAAACTGTACTTATTCTATACTGAACTGCTCTACTACACTTATTAAAGTCATATAGCAATATCTAATAGAATACTCCATTCTCTTGTACTCATTGCAACTCATCTACTAACCATATGAACTGTTATTGCCTTATTAATCTTAAGTTAATTTTAAGTTTGCCTGAAATGCTCTGCATGCAAAGGGGCTTTTGGTATGTACACCCAACTATTATATTCCTTTGTACAACCATGTATCATGTCAAAATGAAAATTATTAATATTATTATCTTACAATTGAAAGCAAGAAAAATGTGGTCTCTTCACGGTATGAATGAAATAAATACACAGTATTGTTTACATGATTATATATGGGTATAATCAGTTTTACCATTTTTTTTCTTTTTATATTTCAATACAGATTACTGAAATTTCATATCTTATTTTTTTATATGAGCAAAGGGTTTTTCCCTTCAGGTCCTGTAACCACCTTGCCTCCTAAACATAAATAAAAGTTCAAGTCATAAATGGAATGCCTATAAAAAAAATAGGCTTAATTATTTCCAATCCAAGGAACAAGGGATGGATAAGTCAACTCCTTGGATCAAAATCATCCCCCCCCATTGACATCAAGGTATCTCACTTTCAAGGGTGTGGACCCCGCATACCGTTGGCATAACATAACGATTAATCCGCATACCGCATGCTTTATCGCAAAAAATTTTGCCTCCGATAACCGCTTAAAAACCCACTCACCAATTGTTCGTCCGAGACGCGTCCAATGTGCGCCCTCAGCAGCCTCACATGTCCGCCCCGGTGGAATTGTTTACCAGCCAGCCTCCGCCGGTAACATCCAAGCATACAATCGGAATATTTCGAATTATTACAGTGTTTTCGGTTGCTTTTTCTGGAAAATAAGTGACCATGGGCCCCAAGGAAAGCGTCTAGTGCCAACCACTACTGCAATAAGGGTGAGAATTGTTAGAGAATTCCAATAGAGAGATAAGAACAGAGATCATTCGATAAGTATGAAAAGTGGAGTGCGTCCGCCCGACCTGGCCAGGTTGTACAAGAAACACAATCAACCATTCGCTATATGGGGCACCAGGCACCAGAAAGGCAATCAAGGGACGCTGTTCTTGCCAAAGGTTTAAACTGTTGTTTTCGAAACAAAGATCGCATGTGATGGAAGATTGTTGAGAGAAGTAGGATCTTATTGGTGTGGATAAATGAAAAACATGCTTAGCAGGACCGCATAGCGTCTCTCAAAGCGATTCATAAGCGAAAAGGCTGGAAGTTTGCATGAGGATTTAATTAAAAAAATGCTGCAAACTAGTGATGATGTGAGTGAATTTAAGGCCAGCAAAGGTTGGTTTGAGAGATTTAAGAAGCGTAGTGGCCATACATAGTGTGATAAGGCATGGTGAGGCTGCCAGTTAGGACACAAAGCGGCTGGAAAATATGTTGCATGAATTCAAGGAATACATTAGAGATGAAGGACTGAACCTGAACAAGTGTTTAATTGTGATGAAACAGGCCTGTTTTGGAAGAAATGCCAAGCAGGACTACATACTCAGGAGGAAAAGGCATACTCCCAGGACCATTCAAGCTATGAAAGACAGGCTTACTTTGTTGATGAGTTCCAATGCTACTGTGTGATTGCAAAGTTTTAAGCCTTTATTAGTGTATCACTCTGAAAATCCCAGAGCGTTCAGGCAAAAGAATGTCTCTCAGGGAGAATTTGTTGTGTGCTATGGAGGGCAACCAGTAAGGCATGGGTCACTAGGGACTTTTTCTATGACTGGGGACACCATGCATTTGCCCCCAATGTGAAGATTACCTAACTGAAAGAAATTAGAACTTAAGTGCCTCATGGTGTTAGGACAATGCCCTGGTCATCCTAAGACGTGGCAGAGCGACTTTATGGGGACATTGAAAATCATTAACATCAAGTTTTTTGCCCTCCTAATACCACTCTCTCCTGACACCCATGGACCAGCAGGTTCATGCAAACTTTTCAAATAACTGACTCCACCAATGCTCTGTTTGAAAGGTGCTTTGTAGTGACTCAGAAACTCAACGACTCTAAGAGAGTTTTGGAGGAGAGCAATTTAATATCCTCAATTGTCGTAAACCTTATAGGTCAAGGCTTGGGAAGGAGTGACTAGAAACCTTGAAACTTGATTCGAAGAAACTGTGGCCAGAATGTGTAGACAAAAGGGATTTGAAGGGTTTGAGGCTAACCTGATGAAGGATTATGCAGTTGAGGAATCCATTGTGGCATTGGGAAAGTCCTTGGGTTGGAGGATTAGTGGGGACGGATGTGGAGAGTTGGTGGGAGGAGGACAATGAAGAAACTAACATGATGAGCTGATAGATCAACTTCAACAGCAGTAGGCCAGACCTGAGGAAACTGGTTAGAGGAGGGTGAATGAGAGAAATTGAAGAAGTGCTACTACAAAGATTAGGAAAATCTGTGCAAAGTGGCTTGAAGTGCAAACCTTCATGGATGATAAATCACCCTCACAAGCTATTGCAAGCCGTGGTGGCAACCTGTACACTGACAATGTTGTTGAAACACTTTAGGGAAGTCATAAAGGAACGAGGACTGGTACAGGCAACTATGGACAGATATGTTGTACGAAAGAAGTCCAGTGACTCTGGAAGTGGTCCTAGTGGCATTTTAAAAGAAGAAGGGAAGTAACCCCAGTAAAGGACTCCGACACCTCAAGTCTTATTGGAAGGGGATTCCCTTCTAAAACTACTATCACTCTCTCTCCCTCCTCCCATCCCATCAATCATCACCAGAATCTTCAATAAAAGTAAGTTGTAATGTAATTGTGCATGCCTTTTTCTGTTTGTGTGTATTAGAATTAAAACATTTCACGTGGTAAAAAAAATTTTTTTTTATTCATACTTTTTTGGGTGTTGTCTTCTTGCAGGAATTAATTTGATTTCCATTATTTCTTATGTGGAAAATTCATTCGATACCGATTATTTCGCATACCAATGACCCTCTTGCATGGATTAAATTCGGGTATGCGGGGGTCCACTATATATAATATAAGATAAAGTCTAAAAGAGGTCCTTTGTGGCATTTTATGGATTGGAAAAGTCGTATGACAGGGTGGATAGGGGGGCAATTTGTGGCAGTGTTGCTGCAGGTGTATGGAGTAGGAGGTAGGTTACTGAAGCAGATGAAGGGTTTTTATGAGGATTAGTGAGGTAAAGTTAGAGTATGTACGAAAAGAGGGAAATTATTTCCAGTAAAGTTAGGCCTTAGGACAAGGATGGTGTGATGTCTCCATGGTTGTTTTAATATACAGTGCGACCCGGTTAACAATATTTTTTCACTCCAGAAGTATGTTCAGGTGCCAGTACTGACAAAGTCATTCCCATAAGGAATATTGTGAAGTAGATTAGTCCATTTCAGACCCAAAACATACAGTACAAATACACTTACATAAAAAACACTTACATTATTGGTCGCATTCAGAGGTGATCGTTATGCGGAGGGTCCACTTGTACTATAGATGGGGTTGTAAGAGAAGTAAATGCGAGGTCTTGGCAAGAGGCATGGAGTTAAAAGATAAAGAAATCACACTAAAGTGGGAGTTGTCACAGCTGCTCTTTGACGGATTGACACTGTGCTCTTGGGAGATTCTGAAGAGAAGTTGCAGAGATTGGTGGATAAATTGTGCGTACCGGTGTGCAAAGAAGAAAATTAAAAGTGAATACAGGTAAGAGTAAGGTTATGAGGATAACAAAAAAGATTAGGTGTCGAAAGATTGGATATCAGATTGGAGTGGAAGTGAGAGAGAGATATGGAGGAGGTGAATGTATTCAGATATTTGGGACGTGACGTAGTCAGCGGATGGGTTCTATGAAAGATGATGGTGAATCATAGAATTGATGAGGGGAAAGGGAGTGAGTGGTGACTTAGGAGTCTGTGGTGACAAAGAACTTTGTCCTTGGAGGCAAAGAGGGGAATGTATGAGAGTATAGTTTTACCAACGCCTTTATATGGGTGTGAAGAATGGGTGATGAATGTTGGCAGTGAGGAAGAAGGCGGAGGCAAGTTGGAGATGTCATGTCTGAGGGCAAGTGTGGTGTGAAGTTGGAGGAGTTGCGGGATTACCAAAAATACTGTTGTCCAGAGGGCTGAAGGGACGGGTTGTTTGTGCGTGGTTCAGACATGTAGAGAGATGGAGCGAAACAGAGTGACTTCAAGAGTGGATCAGTCTGTAGTGGAAGGAAAGGCTTGTGTAGGGGCGGCCTGGAAAGTTGGAGGGGGGAGGGGTAAAGGAGGTTTTGTGTGCGAGGGGCTTGGACTTCCATCAGGCATGCCATGAGAGTGTTTGATAGAAGTGAAATGGAGAAAATGGTTTTTAAATTACTTGACGTGCTGTTGGAGTGTGAGAAAAGTAACATTTATGAAGGGGTTCAGGCAAACCGGCAGACCGGACTTGAGTCCTTGAGATGGATGTATGGGAAGTACAGTGCTGCACTCTGAAGGAGGGGTGTTTAATTTTGCATTTAAAACACTGTAGTGGTGTAAAGCACCTTCTGGCAAGACAGTGATGGAGGATGATGGTGAAAGTTTTTCTTTTTCGGGCACCCTGCCTTGGTGGGAATTGGCCATGTGTGATATAATAAAAAAATATATATACAGTGGACCCCCGCATAACGTTCACCTCGAATGCGACCAATATGTAGGTATTTATGTAAGTGCATTTGGTACGTGTAGGTTTGGGGGTCTGAAATGGACTAAATCTACTTCACAATATTTCTTATGGGAAACAAATTCGGGCAGTACTGGACCCTGAACATACTTCTGGATTGAAAAAATCTATCGTTTAACCTGGTGGTCCACTGTATATACTGTATTTTAAACCCAAAACCCCCCAATTCTTACTTACCCTGAAACGGGTGAGACACGTTCTTGCCTTCTTGTCTATAAGGCAGTTGGACCAATCTTCAGTCTTTATCCACTACTTCTTTTGTATTCCTGCAGTCTGAAATTACATTATATATTACATTACTTTCTAAATTATTCACTTTCATTAGGAGGTGGGGTGGGGAAGGATGCACAAAAGCAATAGGGGGTCATACATCACCTGGGATATGGGAAGCAATCAGGTTCAATCTAATGAAGGGAAGGTCAGATCTAATCCCTTGGATTAAAAGCCCCTCCCAAGCATCATCCTTGAAGTTACTTCTAAATTATAATTTATACTGAATTAAATGAAAACAAATTATATGAGTATTTGCTACACTGTACAGTAATTTTTTTCTTATTCAGGACAATTTATACTGAGGGTGTCCAAATTAATGAATAATCTGAATAATAGTAAGGAATGGCTCTCCTATTCAGAAAAAAAAATCTAATGCATTTTTTCAAACAAAATTCTCTTTCTTCTGAAACTGTTGTTAAATTTTAAGAAAATTCTGAAATCTAGATTATTGTTATATTCAACAACATGCTCATTGGAGAAGCCAGGTATAGATACTCAAAAATCAGAGACAAAGGAATTAATGTACAATTGCTATGGATCCCATTACACACTGGATTACTCCATCATGATAAAGTTGGTATGTTAGCCAAGAAGAGTACCCAGAAGGAGAACGAAGAATATAACTTTGATATATGTGTGTCTAGCATTAGGAATAATATTAGGAGAGAAGTAAATAAACGAAATGATTTGTTAGAGGAATGCAGTTAAAGCTTGCATAAATTTGACAACACTGTGCAACTCTTGGGTTATCTTTATTAAGGAAACGTTTTTGCCACACAGTGGTTCATCAATCCTATAACAGGAGAAGCTTGAAGAACAGGAGAGAATGAGGTAATCAGTCCCTCAACCTTGAGTCGATGTGGTCAGTCAATCAATTCTTGAATAGTATGCTGCATATTAGTGGATGAAGGAGCTTATAAACCGTAGGAAGGGAGGTGCAGCAAGTGTAGGTGGTGTCCATTTGCCCAATGTGGAAGTAGGTCGTGGGCCAAGCGGTTAGGGATCTCTAATCGTGGACTTCTTCGCTTGCCTAACCCTTGGGCACGACCTACTTCCACATTGCGCAAATGTGAACCACCTACGACTGTGCACCTCTCCTTCCTCACGTTTATAAGCTTCCTTCTTCCTACTAATATGCCGCATTCTATTCAAGGATTGTGGACTGACCACATCGACCTCAAGGTTGAGGGGTACTGATTACTATTCCCTCCTTGTTCTTAAAGCTTCTCTGTGTATGGACTGATGAAGCCACTGTGTGGCGAAACATTTCCTTAATAAAGATACCATGAGATTGACATGTGTCTTGTTTATCAATGTGTAGGTTATGTGAACCATCATCTACAATCTGTCAGAACTGAACTTCTTGGGATCTTAATACTTGGGATTTCTTCGCTTGCTAACCCATTTGGGCACAACATATTTCTCACATTGGCAAAATGTCGACACCACCTACGACCTGCTGCACCTCTCCTTCTTACGGTTTTATACGCTCCTTCTCGATAATATGCCCGTATTCTATTCAAGATTGAATGGACTGACCATATCAACTCAAGGTTGGAGTGGACTGATTACCTCGATTCCTCTCATGTTCTTCAAGCTTCTCCTTGTGTTTGGGACTGATGAAGCCACTGTGTGGCGAAAACGTTTTCATTAATAATGATACCCAAAAGAGTTGCACATGTGTCTAATTTATCAATGTGTTGGTTCTGTGAACCATTCATCTACAGTTATAAGCTTGAGTGGATCTATAACCCACTATGATAACATGAACATAGATAAGTATGTTTATGGAGGCAATGTGCATGTGAAAACCGACTGACTGACGTGGTAGTGGCCAGGCTTAGGCTGGTTACAAGAAATACTTCTGCAGTTTGGGAGACACCACAGATGATGATCAAACTAAATGTAAATTATGTGATCAGGCATATGGTCACTCTCTTGAACACTATGTGCTTAATTGTCCACTTATTGAGGAATACAGGAGAAGTATAATAAACATATGTGACATTCAAGATATCTTATTAACCTTTGAGGGTTTCGTTTACTAGTACGTTTTAGCGTAAGGGTTTTTGACGTACTAGTACGCATAAATTCTAGCGGCCTCAAATCTGCTGGAAAAAGGCTGGTAGGCATAGGTGTGAGAGAAAAGTGAATTGGGGTCTGCGTTGGTCGGTTCGAGCGCCGGTTAGAAAACAAATCTGGGACCCAGTGGTGCATTGTGGAATGCCTCTTAGCTAAACAATGTCCACCATGCCTCGCGGTAAGAAGATCCTCAATCCTCGGCGAATTGGGACACTTTTGTTCCCCAGTGACAGTTCTAATAGTGATGGAAGTGCCAGTTGAAGATGTGTTTCATGCCGTTTTAGTGAGGTTTTGACCAAAACTAAGGACCATAATATCGGTAATAGTGAAGAAAACCAGACGACCCTCAGCCTTCCACCTCTGTTGCTGGGCCCTCGTGTTCATGTTCAGTTGTTCAAGAAACCAAGATGGAATACTTCTCATTTTCACAAATCCCAGACTCAGATGAGAGCATGGGTGATGATAGTGATAGTGAATATGAACTACCAAGCTCTTCAACTAGTTTCCAGTAGTGATAGTGAAGTGCAATATTCCCCAGTGAAAAGCGTCAGTCTATACGGCGATATATGCGCTTGGAATGTGCATATTTGCTATTCCAAGGGGAAGGAGTGTATCTCGGAAGTACTTCCCATGGCTGTACAACAGGAACAGACGTGTGAAAATGACGAAGAACTGTTGCCAATTGGGAGATGGAAAATGTGCGTGGTGGTAGTTGGTGCGGCGGTGAGGCACCTGCAGTGGGCCATGCTGCCCACGCTGCCAGCACCACGCCGCTGCCTCAGCTGATCTAGAACAAAGGCCACCATCCCCACTCCCCTCACCACACCAGCTCCACAAAACACAACCTCCACAACCACAACCTCCACACCACAACCTCCACAACCACAAATACCCACCTGTCATTGTCAGTACCCACAGTAGACCGCACCTGGGATTGGCAGGAAAGCTGTCAATTTTGTTCCAAATCCCCACAGTTGGATGGCAAAGCCAAAGTGGAATACGGCCAACTTGTGCACTTGGGAACAAAGCCCACAGAACTGGAATGTTTCGAGTTCTTCTTTGACGAACACAACTGATGAAAAGTATGGTCATTGGAAAGCAACAAGTACTACGAGTACACCATGGGCAAACACATTACTTTCACCAAACATCTCGTGTCTACACCGTGGAAGGAGGCAACTGTGGCTGAGATGTATCTTTTCCTTTGCCCAAATAATGCTTATGCACATGTGTATAAGCACAAGTGTGAAAATCATACTGGTCACTGACCCCTGATTGCAACACCAGGTTTCAGTATATAATGCAAGTGAATCGATTTTGTCCGCTATGTTACATATGCTTCACTTTCTCAGATTAAAACCAGGCCTGACAGAACTGACATGTTATATAAGATTAGGAATGTGTTTTGTATCTGAAACAAAAATTCAGTACGCATTTTTATCCCTTCAGGAAGCTTGTAATTGCGAGTCTTGATTCTGTTCAAGGAAAGACTCATCTTTCAAGCAGTAATACCAAGCAAGAGGAAACGCTATTGATAAAAGTTGTTTGTGCTTTGTGATTGTTACAGTGGTCTGGTATTGGATATTAATTGTGTAACATGGAAGGTTATACATTTGCAAAATACCAGGAATTAATTGGGCATCTCAGGTGATGTGGTTCGAACAATGATAGAACCATTACCTTGGTAAGGGCATATATTATATACAGATAACTGGATACACAAGCCCTCGATCAGTGTTTTTTTTAGCGAGTGAAATGACAGTTGTGTGTGGCACAGTGAATGCAAATCGTAAAAGCATATGCCCAGGTTTGTCACTGGCACTGTAGAGGTGAGGTGCAGGCGTTTGCTGCAATGACATCCATGGCATTCCGGTGGCATGACAAACGAGAGTCACACTGTTGTCATCAATTCACCCTAATAGAAATGGCAAACAGTGGCAGGCAGCATAGAGACGAGAAATGAACCCATTCTAAAACCTGCTGCTTAAGACTGATTACCACCTTCAACATGCGTTCATTGGACAAATGTGACATGAGATTGGTTTGCTGATTGTGTTCGCAAGAGTTATAAGTGGTACATCCAAACTGTTTTTCCATCTTCTGGACATTTCATGCTCAATGCTTAATAATATGTATAAGATGAGCACCAGAAACAAACCACCAGTACGGCGATTTGTAGTCTGTCATCAGACAATAGTATTCAAGTACCAAGGAACAGCACCTGCAATTGACCGCCACATTAGCAACCAACTACCTGTCGTCTGAAGATGTGATCACTTCCTGGTAAAACTGCCTGCTACAGCTTTGAAGAAAAAGGCTCAGAAGAGGTGTTACGTCTGCTGCACATACAAGTAACGCCCCGACAACGCAGAGAGAACTATTTTATGTGTGAGGAGTGCAAAAACTTCCACTGTGCATGGACACCATGTTTCAAAGCCTTCCACTGGTGCAGAACTCTAGAAACATTCCCTGTGACTGTATCATGTGTATATAAAATATAGAAAATTAGTAAATAAAAAACATTTCATATCGTATGTTTGTGTAAATATTTTTATGTAAACAAAATAATGCGACCAACAGTGTTTTATGTTTTATTGTGTGTATTGAAAAAGGAAATAATTTACAAAATATGTTCATGTTGGCCTCAGAGGCCTAAAAGTTCTAGAAAAAAGACAAATATTGAAAAATAATTGAAAATTAGTACATTAAAAACTAAATAGAAAAATACCGGGTGACGGCAGTGGCGATTGTTACCATATGTTGTTCAATTTTGGGCAAATTTTCACTCCTCCATATCTCGGTAAGTATTGACGTTAAAATTTTTTTGTTTAGCCTATAATGTTTAGAAAAGAAAATACTCTTTTTTTTCATAAGGAAAAATAATTTTCTTTTTTTTTTTTTTTGAAAAAATTTGGCCG